ATGTCAGACGGGTCCACAAGCTTCAAAAGTCCCGACATCGTAGAGGTAGAATGTCAGCCGGGTCCACAAGTTCCAACAGGGTCCAGAAATCATGGAGGCAGAATCACAGCCGGGTTCACAAGTTCCAACGGGTCCAGAAATCATGGAGGTAGAATTTCAGCCGGGTAAACAAGTTCCAACGGTCCAGAAATCATGGAGGTAGAATCCAGCAGGAGGTAGAATCGCAGCCGGGTCCAGACATCCTAGATCCCTCCACTCATCCCAAAGAGACTCCAAGTGTTTCAAGACAGCCTTGTGAGGATCCAGCCCTTCCCGTATGGAATGATTATATGGACTTACAAAATTTGGTGCAACAGGAAGGAGAAGAAAATAATCATACGGATGGGTGGGTCAAAGACTGTTTAGATCATTTAACCCTCGAATGAAATTGAACTGTTATGGAATTGCATTTCTGAAATCACATCGGAAATGGGATAAAAACCAAAACAAAAAAAAAACAATTTTTTAATAACAAATTGGAGGAGGGTCATGATGATATCAATTAAAAAAATATTATATAGAGTCCAATCTTGGTGGTTCACTTCAGTTTTCCAGCATGAGGTGATCCACGTTTCCCGAAATATGGATCCCATTCCAAGAGAGATTGTGTAGAGCCTTCACATTCAGTTCTTTTTTTTCCTACCAAGAGGAGAGGGTCCCCAAAGGGCTACCCATGTCCAAAGAGAGAAAGTGTAGAGCGTTCATTTCAGTTTTTTTTCCAAGTTTAGGGGAGGGAGGTCTCAAAATGACACCCCCCATTTTCAAAGAGAGATGGTGTAGAGCGTTCATTTCTGTTTTTTTCCAAAGTTAGGGAGTTTTCAAATGACTACCCATTTCAGAGAAAGAGAGAGAGAGAGAGAGAAGCGTAGAGCGTCCATTTCAGTTTTCCAACATTAGAAGGTCCCAAAATACCTTCTGAATTCAAAGAGAGATCGTGTAGAGCGTTCATTTCCAGTTCTCCAAGATCAGAAGAAGAGGGTCCGCTTTTCCCAAAAGGGCTTTCCGCATTCAGAGACAGCGAAATGCAGACTTCAGTTTTCTCCCTCCCCAAGAATAGAGGGTCCCAAAATGGCTTCCCATTTCAAAGAGAGAGGGAGAGGCGTTCATTTCCATTCTCCAAGATAGGGTCGTCTGCATTTTTTCCCAAAATGGCTTCCCAATTCAAAGAGAGAGAGAGAGAGTAAAAGGGTGTGTAGAGCGGTCATGTTCATTCTCTCCAAGATAGGGTCGTCAGCTTTTTCTCAAAATGGCATCTCCCCATTCAAAAAGAGATCGTAACCACTTTTTTCCAGTTTTTTCCAAGATGGGGGGGAGAAGAAAACCTAGGATGGAATAACACGACACACAGAGAGAAAGAGAAAAAAAACGCCATCTTGTCATTTTCTGATAGGGTACCGGTGTTCGAATACTTTTGTGACCGACTGTACCATTCGAAACCAGCCATTTCGCCACGTGCCGTCCGTAGGGCCGCAATTCCATAATTGTAAATAATAATGTTGTAGTTGTACCTATAATATGTACATTTAAATGTAAATATGCATCTGCCTTTGGAGAAGAGAGTCTAATTTTTTAATCGTTTTATTTTCCCGTGTAGGCCGTGCGTGACGAGGTCAGAGTAAGTATACCGAAACTGTAATCCACCGCGCTTTTATTATAGATATCTGGTATTTTATATAAACTATAAATGAACTTGACTACTGTTAGCCTGACCCTAATCTATCTTAGTTCCAAAATCTCGAGAAAAGGGAAATACCAGAACATTATTTTTGTCACGCGCTGCATAGACGGGGAAAAAAACGCTTTATTTAATTCTACAAAAGCTAACAAATACAAATCCGTAAATATTTTGGTATATTCCAGGTCTAGGTGTCAACATTATTGTGTTGTCTTGTTCATCTGTATTAAGCCTTAGCAATGTGAGGTATTTACTACTTTTTCAAGCTCATGACCTATCTGGTGTAACAAGTGAGTTTTGCATTTTTTTCCTAAATAACAATAGAGAGATTGTAGGAGTACGATCCAAGAGTCCAGCAAGCAGATAAACCGCGGCTCAGCGGCACGAAAAAACAATCCTTAACAAACTCTCTATGTGAAGTTAAACTAATGCTTTCAGATAACTTTTTTCCTTCTAAATATACGCTGTTTGAGTATGTGTTATTGACATAGCAAATGAAACGTGTCTACAAATTAAATTCCGTCAAAACATATTAAATATTTTATTGTAGTTTTTATTATTATACACATTTATTCTCCTTTCGGCAAATTTAATTGCAGTCGCGAGACCGTCAATAGACTATACGCGAGTTGGTTCGGTAAATCTTCAATTGCTGTAGTGCTTTTATATAGAAGCCATGACCTGATGTCAAATTTTTCATTCGAAAATAGCCGTGAGCCTCGCAGGCTTAGTGTTTTCCGAGAGAATATTTGAACTCATTTGCCGACAAAAAAAATTCTATAATTTCAGTTAGAGATATGACTATAACAACAAGACCTAAAACCCTCTCCAACGCAGATGGATATTTATCATAAATGTTAAAAGATGATCTTTCACTAAACATTATTATTACAATTATGGAAGGAAAGCCGCGGGCGGCACGTAGCAAAATGGACCCAGCCTTCTCTTTGCTGGCTCCTGTTCCTGCTGGGAGGACAGCATGAGGAGCAGCAGATGAGGAGTGCATGCAGGAGGACAGTACATAAAGAGGGGAATAAACATAAGGAACAGAAGGGGGAAGAGCGCAAGATTATGAGCAAAGGGAAGGAACAGCAGGAGGAGGAGCAAGCAGAAAATGTCCTCCCAAGAGAATGTAGTAGGGCAAGAGCAAAAGAAAAAAAGAGGGACAGCGGAGGAGCAGAAGGAAGAGGAGTAGCAGGAGAAGAACAGCAAGGGGAGGAGGAGCAGAAAGAGGAGAAGGGGCAGGCGGGCGAAATATATATTCGTGAGCAGAAATAACTTTGCTTCGGGGCTCACGTACCATTCGAAACGAGCCATTTCACCACTTTCCGTCCGTAGGGCCGCAATTCCATAATTGTACATAATAATATTGTAGTTGTACACATAATATTGTAACATTTAAATGATAAATATCGCATCTGCCTTTGGAGAAGAGGAGTAGAGAGTTCTTAATTTTTTTAATCGTTTTATTTTCCCGTGTAAGGCAGCGCGTGACGAGGTTTTAGCGAAGCTACACCGAAAAAGTAAAAACACCGCGCTTTTAATATATAGATATCTGGTTATTTATATATAAACTGAATAAATGAACTTGACTACTGTTTTGTTTTTGTTTTGTTTTATACGAGCGCAGCCCTTTCGCCTGGTTTGTTGAACCTCATGAAGAAAAGCAGGCGCAACCATTCCAACAACAAATGACACGATTTCAATACAGATCTGTATTTTCGCGTGTAAGGCAGTGCGTAACGACGGAGGGCACGTGGCGAAATGGCTGGTTTCGAATGGTACGTGCACCCCGAAGAAAAATTATTTTTGCCCACGAATATGTATTTCGCCCGCCTGCTCCTTCTCCTCTTGCTGCTCCTCTTTCTGCTGCTCATGTCCTGCTACTCCTCTTCCTTCTGCTCCTCCTCTCGCTGCTCCTGTTCTTGCTGCTCTTCACCCTGCTACTCCTTCTCTTGTTGCCCCTCTTCTTGCTGTTCCTCCTCCTGCTGTTCCTTTCCCTTCTGCTCCTCCTCTTGCTGCACCTCCCCCTTCTGTTCCTCCTGTTTATTCCCATCTTTCTGCTGCCCCTCCTCATTCTGCTCCTCCTCAGCAGGAACAGGAGCAGCAAGTGGCCTTTGGAGCCACTTGCTGCTCCTGTTCTTCTGCCTTTGGAGAACAGGGTTCTTAAGGTTTTTTTGTTATATTCAGTATTTTGTAACTTGAAATTTATGAGAGAATATTTTTCTGGTGGCAACTGATTTCAAATATTTTCGTCTCGGAACAACAACATAATGGCCTGCGAGGCTGTGTGCTATTTTCGAAGGAAAAATATTTGACATTAGTGTCATGGCTTCTAATATAAAAGCAGCTACAGCAATTGAAGATTTACCGAAACACACTCGCGGTATAGTCTATTGACGGTCATCGCGACTGCAATTAAATTTGCAGGAAAGGAGAATAAAATCTGTTATAATAAATAAAAACGGACAATAAATATTTTAAATATGTTTTGAAGCAATATAGTTTGTAGACACGTTTAGTTTGCTATGTAAAATAACACAGCACTCAAAACAAGAATATACTATTAAAAAAAAAGGAAAAAAGTTAGTCTGAAAGGATTCAGGTTACAACTTCGCATCAGAGACTTTGTTAAGGTTTTTTTTTCGTGTTGCCGCTGAGCTCGCGGTTTATCTGCTTGCTTGGACTCTTCGACTCAGTCCTCCTGACACAACTATCTTATTGTTACTTAGGAAAAGAAATGCAAAACCTCACTTGTTCCACCAGATAGGTCATGAAGCTTGAAAAAGTGAGTAAATACCACAGCATTGCATAATAGCTATAATACAGATGAACAAGACAACTCAATAATGTATGACACCTAGATCTGGAGAATATTACGAAAATATTATTACGGATTTTGTTAGCAGTTTAGTAGAATGTTATTAAAACTCGGTTTTATTTCCCCCGTCCTAGTGCAGCCTTTACGAAAAAGGAGGTTCGGTAATTTCCCTTTTCTCGAGATTTCTGAAAACGAGAGTAGAATTAAAGTCAAGCTAACACAGTAGTCAAGTTCATTTATTCAGTTTATATATAAATTACCAGATATCTATATATTAAAACCACGGTGTTTTTACTTTTTCGATGTAGCTTCTCTGAAATCTCGTCACGCGCTGCCTTACACTGGAAAATAAAACGATTAAAAAATTAAGAACTCTCTTGTCGTCTTGTCCAAAGGCAGATGCGATATTTATAATTTAAATGTTACAATATTATCTGTACAACTACAACATTATTATTTACAATGATGGAATTGCGGCTCTACGGACGGCACGTGGCGAAATGGCTGGTTTTGAATGGTACGTGCGACCCGAAGCAAAATTATTTCTGCCCACGAATATATATTTCACCCGTCCGCTCGTTCTCCTCTTGCTGCTCCTCTTTCTGCTGCTCTTCTCCTGCTACTCCTCTTCCTTCTGCTCCTCCTCTCCATTCTCCTCTGCTTGCTGCTCTTCCCCCTGCTACTCCTTCTCCTGCTGCCTCTCTTCTTGCTGCTCCTCCTCCTGCTGTTCCTTTCCCTTCTGCTCCTCCTCTTGCTACTCCTTCCTCTTCTGTTCTTCCTGTTTATTCCCCTCTTTGTGCTACTGCTCCTCCTGCTGCACGTCCTCATTCTGCTCCTCCTCATGCTCTTCCTCCTCAGCAGGAACAGGAGCAGCAAGAGAAGGAGGTCCATTTTGCAACCTGCCGCCCGCGGCTTTCCATTCCATAATTGTAAATAATAATGTTGTAGGTGTAAAGATAATATTTTAACATTTTAATGATAAATATCACATCTGCCTTTGGAGAAGAGGGTTCTTTAGGTCTTTTTGTTATATTCAATAATCTCTAACTTGAAATTTATGAGAGAATATTTTTCTGGCGGCAAATGATTTCAAATATTTTCCTCTCGGAACAACAACATAATGGCCTGCGAGGCTCACTGCTATTTTCGAAGGAAAAATATTTGACATCAGTGTCATGGGCTTCTAATATAAAAGCAGCTACAGCAATTGAAGATTTACCGAAACACACTCGCGGTATTGTCTAGTGACGGTCATTGCGACTGCAATTAAATTTGCCGGAAAGGAGAGTAAAATGTGTTATAATAAATAAAACGGACAATAAATATTTTAAATATGTTTTGAAGTAATTTAATTTGTAGACAAATTTAGTTTGCTACGCAAAATAATACAGCACTCAAAACAAGAATATAACCTAGATAACCTCCAACCTAGATAGTTTGAGCAACCATTTTGTTTCTCACCTCACCAAAATGGTCTTCTTGAACCATTTTGTTTCCTACCTCACCAAGATCGACTGGGTATTTTCGAACCATTTTGTGTTTTCTCTGCTCTCAAACCTCGATAATTTGAGAGCAACCATTTTGGTTCCTCTTAATCTAGATGGTTTGAGCAACCATTTGTTGCAACCTCATCAAAGGACTGGGTCTTCTCCACGGCTTGGAGCGACCATTTTGTTTACCACCTCACCAAGATCGACTGGGGAGACCATTGTGTTCTTTCTCTCTTATAGAACCGAGACGGGTTGGAGCAACCATTTTGTGTTTTCTCTGCGCTCAAACCTCGATAGTTTGAAGAACCATTTTGTTTCGCATCTCACCAAGACAGGTCGTTTTGCGTTTTTTCCCCACCTTAATTTACATGAGCTACCATTTTTTCCCATCTAACCAAGGTTAATACGAGCCACCATTTTGTTTCTCACCTGAAAAGTATATTTTCTGAATGGGGTTCGGTGTTCGAATACTTTTGTGACCGAATGTATGTGTCCGAAGTTTTAATTTAGAATCTTTGTCTGTCTGTCTGTCAGTCAGTATGTAATTCTACAAACAATGCTAAGCAGCTCAGAACAATTCAACTTATCTTCATTAGCGAAGTTTTCAACCGAGTGCAATGTTTTGATGCATTTAAGGGTATGATGATCATATGAAATATACGTCAATGTCTAATACAATCGACATGTATTGCCAGTAATTGGACCCTATTACAGATTGCATCTAATGGAAGCTTAGTTACTTTTCAGTTCAGTTTTCTCGGTAAGTTTTGTTTTAAGATCATTCTGATAAATAATGATATGTAAAGTGATCACATTGATTTTAAAGATTGTGTTTTTAAATGTATAATAAAATGAAAAGTTGCAACCCTCTGTTAATAATGTATTGTTGACTGAAAACGTTTGTCGACTTTCTTTCTTGAACACAATTTTTCATCTAGAATAATATTATAAAATCTGTATTTCAAAGAAATGTCGTCTGTGTCGAGATGATGTTAATTATATTTGCGTATGTGATATAATTAATAAATTTTAGTTTTTCTCAGTAAATTGTTAAGAGCTTCGATTGTTCAACTAAGATTCATTCGATTTGTAATTAAGTTTATTAAAATTAAGACAGGAATGTTTCATTCAATATTCTTTTAGTTGAGAGAGAATATGTAAACATGCCAAATTAAAACTTGAAATTAGGCAAAGCAACAGCCTAATTGTGCTTCTGTTTGAGGTAGATTATAATTGAAACACAATCTTTTGTTCAAAAAATTCTGCCCGGCGATTTAGGGAGAATTAAGTAACAGCCTTGTGTTTGGGATAGATTATACCTGAAACACAATTTTTCATTGCCAGGCAGAATTTTCAAACACCTCTTCAAAACCTTCACCTTCACCTCTTGACAAACCTTCACCTCTTCATCCTCAAAATCAAGAGATGTTCAATTAAAATCTATCCTAAACACAAACTGTTGTTGTGCTCAATTTGAAATTCATTAGTTGGCTATTATTAATATTTTGTAAAGTTTAGTTTAGAAGATTGTAGTATGTACAATCTGCACAACAAAGAAAAGAAAAAAAAATGGGGGGAGATGGTTTTCTTGTCTTTCTGGGCTGATTAACAAAATTTAACTTGTGTTTTTCATTGTCTTGAAAGCATGATTTAGTATATATATTAGATTATTTAGTGTATATCTATATTTTAGGGTACTTCTTGGATTATTGCCAAGTTGTTGTTTCATTTATGGTAAGCTGACTAGTCCTGTTATGACATGATTGGTTGTAATGTGTGATTGCAGTGATTTTGACCTGATGAGAAAATATTTGTAAGGGCTTGCTTAGATATGGATGTTGGTTAGGAAGTATGTTCCTTATTTTGTGCTTTATGCCATAAAACGCTTGCTGGCGGTATGATTAAACTGAAGTTTGTGTATACTTTGTAGCAATTGAGAAAGAAAATATGGATTGACTGGTGTGTAAATGAAGATTCGGCTAATCTTTGGAATATGGTAACAGGTAGTTTGGCGACATTTTGGTAAGGCGATGAAAGTTACTAGCTAGCACTTTAGCAGTGTACATGGATTAAGTAAAGACTGTGCGCAATGCCGTTTTTGTGCAATTCTGGGATGTTCTTTTAAGTGAAAATATGTCGACGTGTACATGGCTGATACCGTGTATGTGCAATTCTTAAAAACGCGGCAAGCAGTGGGCGATTCTGCACTTTGTCCCAATTTCGCACCTAATCTTCATCATGATTAAGCAGTTTTGTTCCATAAAAGTTCTAGCATAAGCGTAATTCGGCTAGCAGATTGTTGGAAAAAAATTGTTGAGTTAAAAAAAAAAAAAAAACATACCTTTACTTCGTGAAAACAAAATGGCGTCCAAACAAAACTAGCAGGTTGCTGTAGCACGGTTGGTCACGAAATTTTCGACAAAAAATTGCCAAGTTACCATAATCCGAAGATTAACCGAAGATTTAAATGGCTTTCTTCACCTCTTGAATTATGCAGTGAGATTTAAGGATTTTGAAACTTGGGCTCATATCAACACTATGTAATGTATGTGGAGTGCAATAAGAAGGGATTTTTGAAAGAAAAACTATCGACAGTCAGGCAGTACGGAATATATTTTTGATTTTTACTTTTGTGAATTAATGTGCCAACAGCAGTATACAGATTCTAATTTAAATAATTTTAAATAGTTTTTGGATGCTGTTAAGGAATTCTGTGTGTCTCGCATATCGAAAAAACAGAAATTTTTAAATAAGGTAAGTCAATACAGTCAAAATGTCTTTAATCCGGACTCGTCGGAACTTCGACAATTCCGGATTAGGGGTTTTTCCGGATTACAGATCATCAATTTAAATCTGGTAAGATGGCATGCAGAAATTATAAAATTAAAAATATGAACCCGTAATTTATGAAATAAAGAGCAATTATGATCTAAAGGGTATCAAAATTTACCAAAACGAACTTAATATTTATTTGTTTACTTTATTAAACATTTCTTTCAAGGCGCGCATGCGTAAAGCATACATTACACATAGTCTAAAATTAGAAAATTGCAACCAGAAAACTATTTGATGTGTATTCGGGATATTTATAATGACGAGGAATTTGATTTAAATCATATCAAAGATGGAGTACATCGAGATGAAATACTACATTTAGTAAGGAATTATAAGCCGAATAAAATAAAAACCTCTGCCCTGAAGATAAGGATAGTGCTGACAGATCAACTTCCAGTTCATTGTGCGTCGCGACGTCCCCCCCCCCCTCCCGCAGAGCAGCATGAAATTGATAAACAGATTTCGGAATGGGTTAGAGAAACAAAGGATATGCCTTTATCCATTTTTTGCAGCAATTCCACTTTTTGTTTGATAGACATCGAAACATGCTTTCACTTTGTAGATCCATTGGCAGCTCCATAATCGAAAGTTCTAGCTTACTTTTTATAAAATTGCTCTAACAAAAAATAATAAGCCGGATCCAATTCGGAGATTAAGGAACAACGCAATCTGCAACATTAACTGAAATAGATAATTAGATAATTTTAGCTTAGCCCATACTGTTCGTTATACATTAAACACGCATGCATAAACATATTATGCGCATGCACAGAAAGTTTGTAGCTTTGAGGTCCGCATTATAGATCATTTCGTATTATGGACGTCCGGATTAAAGACTTTTGACTGTAATTCCTTATCGTACTGCATAGATTAGATAACATATATTTCCATTCTTATGTTATTTCTTTGATTTAAAATGCAGTTTATTGAGATTATATATTTTTTGGGTGAAAATAAACTTAAGGGTTCCCCTTGGCAAAAGTTGGCTATTGGCCAACAATGCTCAGTTTCAAAATGGCTGCTGCACAAAAGCAAAATAACAAGTCAAAGAATTGCACAAACTCGATGTCTTTGTACACATTGATCTATTTTCACTTAAAAAATAATCAGAGAATGTTGATGTCATATAATGTTAAAACAAAGTTATTACAGAATTGAACAAAATTTGTAGCCAATCGAAGCTCAATAAACTGCATTTTGAATCACACAATGAAATAACATAAAAAAGGAAATACACTTATCACATATACGCACTACAAAAAGAAAATGTGGACTTACCATATTTAGAAATTTCTGTGTCTGTGGTATAGAAAATTCCTTAATAGCACCCAAAAGCTTTCAAAAATCATCTTAACTAGAATATGGATACTGTTGTTGCCATATAATTTCACAAAAATAAGAGTAAAAAATATCCTCTCTAGTGCCACATTGTCGGTGGCATTTCTGCATGAACATTTCTTGCGATAAACCCATTCAGAGCCATCTGAATCATCTTTATGTTCGACCATACGCATTTCCTTTGTACAAACAGGACACTTTTAATGACTATTAAGTAAACCTTCATTTACACACCAGGTTAATTAATGCTTTTTTCCCTTTTGTTCCAAATCGAACAGAACCGTGCAGAAACTTCACATTAATCTCATCACATACAGCCGTTTTACGGAGTACAGCACAAAATAAGCAACATACTTCCTGACTGACATCAAATGCAGAAATAAGCCCTTACAAATGTTTTCCCATCAGTCAAATTCACCGCAATCACACAACCAATCGCATCAAATTAGGGTTTCCATAACATTCAGTGGATCATGATCATGAGCTGTTAAGTCTTCTAAAATTGCACCTGACTTTATGGCAGCAGAAATAAAGTAAGTATAACTGATCTTTGCTCAACACGTTTCTTTTAACTTGAGGATTGCGGAATTCAACATGTTAAAAGTAAACTAGTGAAAGTTTTTTTTACAGCCAGCGAGTTTTTTGAAAAATTTGTGATAACACTATCCAAATGATAAAATAAGTGACGTAACAACAGTTCATTGTATAAAAGATGTATACCCCAGTTATTACGTAATTAATCAACTACTGTTGATCAAAGTTGTCAGAATCTACTCATGTATGCAGGTTCTATTTATAACTGATTAAAAAACAAGAACGAAATTCATTTACCTGTTCTGATCCATTGTTGAATCTGACGTGATGTTTCAGCTGTCAATCTTCTTTACAGAGAAACCGCAATTGGATTTTCTTGACATCACATTTTATTTACATAAAACATTCAAAAGGAAAAAAATTAATATTTAAATACATTTTCTTGTACAGCCTCTCTTTTTCTCTTATGGCTGTACGATATAATTTATCCATCCATCACATGGATTCGAAACCGAACTATCTACTGTTTACAAAAAAGAATAATAATAAAAAAAAAAGTTTTAATTTCTCTCACTAATGGGACCTCTGGCACCCTCTAACAGGAGAAAGATACTTTAGATGAACATTTAACACCAGTGTAAAGTTTGATATGGTAACAGTATTTGATAACACTATTTTTCAAACCACTGTTAATTACTATTCCATTGCTTTCTCTCACATCAACTTCCTCAAGAGAAATCACAAATATAGTCAAATGGGAAATTATAGTTAAAAGCTATATCATTAACAAGTCTTGTAGAAGGAGAAATATAGCTGATTTATTTGGATCCTGGTCCTTCTGTGATTGAATACTAGTCCTCTTTTCCACTTTTTCGAAAACACAATAACCATCATGTCGTCTTTTATTCCATCAAATTGCAGACCAAGTAGTGCTTCCCTAATAGATTGATTCCATAAATCATTTCTGTTATTATTCCATGATTTTTTTCTGCTTTTTATTTTATTTTTGTCCACAACACGAAAATTATCTGAATGAGTTATCTCATCCGTAGTTACATAATGTGCACAAATGTAATCAAATGGGATATGTCAAAGATATATATATATATATATATATATTTTCATTTTGCTCAGCTAGATGATAGGGAAATCTGTGGTATGGAATAAAAAAAATAATAAAATAAGTGTTTTTTAGTCCCACCCAAATTTGTGTGTTGTACACACACATACATATGTACATGCACAAATACATACCTGCATATGTACATACATTTCTGGATCCTATCCCCACCAATAACAGAAATGTATCTGCACCCAATTACTTGCAGCATTCAAATGAAATTAACTAATGTAATTTTGTACTTTCTGAAAATATTCGATTCCTACTCCTAACTAGCCACCTAAAATAGTTATAAAAAAGAAATAAATTAGTTATTAAAAAAGTTAATAAATTAGTTATTAAATAAAATATAATAAAAAAATAAATTAGTTATTAAATAGTTATAAAAAAAATAAATTAGTTATTAATAAAATAGTTATTAAAAAGAAGGTACAATTCTGTTAGAGCGGCGTCAGTTAAAAATGCAGCAATAATCATGCCAAATGTTTTCGCTTGAGAATTAAAGTTTTCATTTGAAATATCGTCGCACATTATTTTGAATATTTTTTATTTATGTTTAAAATACCTTGGCTCAAGATTTCTAGTTTTCGTTTGAAATATCATCACTAGTTATTTTTTTGCCATTTTTTTTAGTACGATGGATTACACAATTTGGCAGTTATCTAATGTCAAAGAGACTGCCATAAGATTCTTTCAGGATAAAGGAGTGATTCATAGCAACAGACTTTGTTCTCAAAAACATCCAATGAAGTTAACTTTTGACTCAAACAAAACTCCTATATGGTGTTGTTACATACATTATTGCTGTGAAAAAAAAGGATTGAGAATCAAAACATGGTCTGAAGTCTCACATCTTACTGTCCTCAGTGTCATTGGTTTCATATATCTGTGGTGTCAGGAATTGATGTCGATTGAATTTTGAAAACTTCAGTGAGCCATAATACGACAGTAGATTGGAATAACTACTTGAGGGAGGTATGTGCAAATAGTTTGATGTCACGTAAAAGAATTAAAATCAGTGGAGCCAACAAAATCATAGAAATAGACGAAAGCTTTTAACAAGAAGGAAAAACAATGTTGTACTTATTCTTCCAGAACAATGGGTATTTGGGGGTTTGGTGTGTGTGTGTGTATTTAATTATGGCAAAGCACACGAGGGCTATCTGCCTAAAGGGAGGGGTGCCTTTCGTGGAGGACTTTCTAAGGGAAACTGGCTCGTATACACGTTACACATGGGGAAAACCAATATTTGGGGGTTTATGCCGAGAAAACAAAGAATGCTTTCTGACTGCTGTTGCTGATCGTTGTGCTACGACATTGATGACTGCCATTGATGACAAGAAAACATTGCAGATGGCATCATTATCTTTTCAGACTGCTGGAAAGGATATAAGCAAGAACTAAGAAATGCAGGGTATGAACATTTCACTGTGAATCACAGCTATAATTATGTAGACCCCGAAACTGGATGCCATACCCCAACTATGGAGTAGTGCTAAATGGAGAAATAAATCTCAGTGGGGCACTGCTCACTACCACTGAGAATCATATTTAACAGAATTCTATATTCAAAAACTTAAAAATGTTCTGTACTATTGAATGATATTCATAATTTTATGCCACGTGTTTAGATCGTATTTAGTTTTGTTTTGTTATATATATTTATGTGTAGAATATTCTAAGTTACAAAATTAAAGTGAAAAATTTACTTTTTATAGAATTAATTTTTTTTATTCTTTTGAACTCTTGTTATTCTTTTATAATTTAATACTAGGTGAGAATTAGCGGCCCAAAAAAGTGGCATGTTTTTAACTGACAATGCTCTAACAGTACCAAAAGAAAAAAATATATAATGATTTTAATGAGTCCAACTACTGTAGTTTCATAAAAGTATTTAACATTCCTAATTAGACATCTCTTGATTTAAATGCATTTTTATTAAAATCAATCGGAATAAAAAGTAGAAAACAATCATCTTTCTTCTTATTGCTTTTAAATCACTTAGCTTGATAACCAGATTAAATTTAGAAGCTAAATATTTTAGCTTTAATGAATGGCAATGTGCTGTGACATGGAAGATAAAAGAATTTAATTTCAGGCACAGACAGCACACTTACTTTTAAACTGTTGAGTTTACTGATTAAAACTGAAATGTTAATGTCTTAACATTTTTCCAAATGGCAGCAGTCTGGTATGCCAGAGAAAAAATTGGTTTTATTTCGAAGTGTTGCTAACACTGAGTTTGCTAATCAAAAATTCATTACATTTGTATAAAATGTGAAATGAAAAAAAAAAAAAAAAAAAGTATGTATTTAAAATTCAGGCACCAAGATGGACTATGTGTACTCAAAATTTGGTGGCTGTAGGTGTCACTGTATTCCTCAATAGTACAAGGAACATGCAAACATATATATACAGACAGATTCTTTATTATTAAATAACAGAGATTAAATTGTGCTCCTAATAATCCGTAAGGGTTGTTTATGTATTATTTTCATAATTGTCTGAGAAAGACACATGGAGGCAATAAAATATTTCTGCATTTTTGAAAAAATTCTTAATTTTTGATGTAATGAATTTTATTGCTAAGGCAAAAATGAAATCAAAATCTTAATACTTGTCATATCTTCAAAATTTAATCTTGCCAGTGTTCAGTGAAAAAAAAAAGACCATCTTTCCAAAAAAGAAATGGTTGCAATAAATCATTTAGATATTCAGCACTTTCAAATTATTATAGAGAAAAAAGAAAGAATGGTTGCTGAGAAGAAGTGATGAAGGTTATGCTGCACAAAATGTAAACTGCTTTTCTGTTAATCTGCACAGGCTGCATATTTGAGCATTATGGACCAGTTTACATTTAGTGCCCATACATTAACACTTTTCACAATGAGTTTTCTATTTCGATGTTACATTTTTGCTGGTATAAGTTATTTGTAAAACACCCTAGAAAGCCAAAACTGAAATATTAATTTGTTTTTCCTGATAAACAGAATTGAGGTTTTGGGACATGTCTTAACAGTATCTAAGAAACAATTTTCTGTGAAATGCCATACGCAAATTGTGTTTATGACAATTAGAGAGCATCACCACCTTTTCTTAGTCAAGCCACAAGGAAACATTGTTCCATTTTCCACACTTCAAAATTTTGCTTGATTTTTTTTGGGGGGGGGTTGAGGGAAAGGGATGATTTTGTTTGCAGATTTTGGCACATCCTTGCATGTCTTGATGCATATTCCAACAGTCAATTGTTTACATTAAATGGACACTTGGAAAGAAATGGTCAAATCTCGTTTCTTGCTTTATTGTTTAAAGGTAATAATTATTTCATATAGCTGCTCTGATTGATATAATGCAGGGTTTGAGCAAAGCAAGGTCATCTGCTCTTTTTGTGGAATCAGATGTAATAGTTCACTTAATCCTAATAATCCGTGAAGATTATTGCTAAGGATTATAATCTCAAAAAGGAATTTTTTATCTCAAAAATTCAATTACTAAACATTGAGCTTCCTTATCTTAATTGTCACATAATATGTATATGTTTTTCCTTTATAGGTGTAATCTGAAGCATGGCAGATGAGGATTTTCAAAAACAGCTAGAACTTGAAGAAAAAGAAAAGCAGAAGAAAGAACTGAATGATTCAGGCATTACAGATCCATATACGTATGTTGATCCTAATGATGGTACTGTATACGAGTGGAATACTGAAAAACAAGCATGGTTTCCAAAAGTAAGTTATTTATCTTATTTTATAGGCTTGTGAATTATTTAAAATTATTATGAAAAGTATTTTTGTTTGAAAAAAGTGTTGCTGTATTTAAGAGTGTACTTTATAAATATCCAAGTATTTTAAACATCTGAAACTAATATAATGGCATTTTAAAATATTTTGATTGTGAAATTCTTATTTAACATAATAAATGCTGTATAGAATTTGGCATCAAAGCACAACCGCTTCTCAAAAGCGATGGGTGTAAAATAACTTCGTGTTTATTGATAATATGCTTTTTTACCCTCTTTAAAAGCTTTTGTTTGTATCTCTGATAATTAATATCAGATGTAGATTTTTTAATAAACTATGATTTTTGTGATGATAAAGCAAAATCCATGGTAGTTGTAGCATGAGAACTATTTCACATTTTAGTGTCTTGGGTTTGTTATTATTGTTGTTTCTATGCTACTTCTCTGACTATACTTTTGTAACCATTGGAACCAATGCTACTAGAGCTGTGGTGCCAGCGGGATTTAATACTTATTAATTATTTTAATTCATGAACTTTATTTATTGAAAAAAGCTGGTATTTAAATCAAGCTTCTTGAGATTTTTGTTTAAAAATATAGAGCTTGGCTCAAGTAATTTGTTGTAATTCTATAGTATCTTCAGAGCTTTTGTGTATTAAAAATAAGTTGCAAGGCCAGTTTCTTATATTTACATTAATATTACAATCATACTTATTAATTAAAGCATTGGTACATATAGGTAGAGAAAAACATGGATAATTAAAAAAATGACCATGTATAATTTTGATTAATACATGGACACTATAAAAAATTGAATCATCAGAAATTTTGTTGAATGACATGCAGTACGTTATTTAAACTAGTAATTTAAGGAATTATTTGAAAAATTTAAAATTTTAAAACTTTTCAGCTTACTTCTAGAAAAACTTTATCCTCACCTTTTGAGAGCCATGTTGACATTCTTTCAAATAATATGACAACACTGGGCAAAGTTATGATATTATTAATGTCAAATGCCATTTATTCTTTCATGCAGTGTAATAACTTGATTATGTATTCACGAGCCTTCGTGAGTTCCTCCCTTTTCCCATGAAAACTTTTGAATTTGAAGTGCACACATAATGCAGGCCCATAGTGAAATTTTCTGATGCTGATGCTATCCAGTCAGTAGCATACATCTTGAAAGTCATCTTGAAAGGGGGTGAAGTCCCCAAGGAAAAAGTATCCTTTCAATGCTGGTCATATGTTGAATTATTTCATCATTGAAGCTGTGAATTTGGTCATTTCATCTTTAGTCTAAGCGATTATTCTATCTGTACAAAACAGCTGAAAAGAAACCAAGAGAAAAATCTTTTTTTTTTTTAACGTAATTACTGACTAGATAATTCTCTCAAATTATGTATTTTGCTCCAAATTTATAGAAACGATATTAGCATTCAGTCAAGTTACAGAATCTTACAGAATAATGCATTTTCATATGAAACTTTGAAAGAAGTAATAATTGAGCTTAAATTAAATGTGCGGTGCAATGCAAACCATGCAACTAGCACTGAAAAACAATAATAAAATGCTCTAAATTCAATGGTAAACAATGAATATTCTGTCCTAGTAGCTTTGGCACTGCAGTATGCAAGAGTACGGCACCTTTCCAATCTTTGCAGAGGATTTCCCTTGCTAGAGGTAAGGAGAAGAAGGGATGTTTTCCTTTTGCACGGTGTGAATATTTTGTTGACTGAATGCTGATGCTCTTCAGCATGCACAATTCTTTTACAGAGGGCAAAGAAAGACATAGAAACGGAAAGCAAGCAACTCATTTTATTTTGAATACTTGACTCTAAAGTCAATGCATAGCTACAAATTAAAAGTTATTAATACAGATTTATTGTGATAGACTGAAGCAAAAAAATGATTTTTTATTAGATTTAAATTTACAGTCACGTGATGCATGCATCACGTCTTGTGCGTCCTGCTTCAGATCCTTATTGCAAGGCACATTTCAAGAAAGCATAATGAAAGCAACCTGTATAAATTTGAAGAGCTGGGCAAAACTGACTGTTAATACCTCTCAGCAATGCATAAACTGAAAAGAATTTTAACATTGTGCAGAAAACTCAGTTTGGACCACACTATTTATTGCCAGAATAAGTTTAGCCATGAGGAATTAATTGGCTGCAACAAATTTAACCCAATGAGATCAGGGAGAGTAACATGGGGAAAGTAATTGTAATTTTTCATTTTTTAAACATTTTTTTTTTTTTTTTGTACAAATATGTAATGTGATGTAGTTGGTTTTTTTTTTTTTTTTTTTTTTTTTTTTTTTTTTTTTTTTTTTTTTTTTTTTTTTTTTGTGCAATCCCTTTCTTGCAGTCTGGGAAATGCTCGAAAGTCCATTTATTATGCAATTAAGTATTTATTATTAATTATTTATACCCCTTCTCAAAGGTTTGTGTCTCTAGAACAGTATTTCTCAACCTGTTTTGTCACATGCAAACTCTTTCACCATTGCTAGATGAAAATTGCTTCCCTTCTCCTTTCCCAAACTTTTGTATTTATTTTAATTAATATTATTTTATAAATTAAACAAGAAATGCATAGAAAATGTTAGCAAATACCAAAACTTGAATAAAAGTAGCTTTTTATATTCATAAACTAGAACTAAGTATGAAACAAGTAAATAAAAGGCTGATCATATTTCTCTTCTGAAGCTAAGAAATTCCTCTTTGAAAACACCTGCTCTAGAATAAAAAAATCTTAAGTTCCATTGTTTGCGACATTGTTAATGCAAATAAAAATAGTAAAGCTTAAGTGCAAAATTAACTTACCAACAGTCAGCTCGTTAGCTAAAAAAAGTGTATTATTGTGTTTCAGGTCAAGGCTGCCAAAAATGTCATTTTGAATTTAGATTCTTTCTCATTATTTAAAATAACTTGATTTTTTGGTGATTTTTTTTCATTTTATTTTCAATTTGCCACCCAGATGGGAAAGTGATCAGGGACTGACTGCCATACCAAGTGCCCAGGGTGTAAATTGTCTGACCTTTCATAAGAGGCAATGGTAGCCCACCTATTAGGTGCCGTCATAATAAAGTGATCACTGCTTCTTGTCTTAATAGTGGACAATACCTATAACAGCTCGTGCCTGCCACAGGAAATTAAAAAAAATAATAATAATAATTTTTGGTGAACCAGATGAAACAGTAGAAATGTGATGGAAAGATTCAACCTAAGGAATAATGTGTTAATTAAAATAAACATACAAACTAAGCAGTTTAACATGTAGACATCTTTTTATCTGTAAAATATATGTATGATCATGATATATTTATGCACTTTTGTACAAATGGATAGAATAAAATTGTGTTGTAGTTCTTGAAAGGCCTTTTTCTTTTACATATAATTACATAATTTTTTGATGCACCTTTCCCTGTATTGTACTAACAGTGAAAGCTATAAAAACAGTAGTAATTTTATGTTCTTCTTATTTATTTTAATTATCTTCTGTTATTATTTGATTCTGCACATGCCTGTACTATTACTGTATATTAAAAATATGTCAAACTTGGGTACTTTTAGGTAGATGATGATTTTATAGCCCAGTATCAATCAAATTACACATACCAGAGTAATGAAGATGCATCAAAAGAAACAAATACTCTGAATCCTGAACCACAGCCTAAGGGAGAAAAACGGAAAGCGAATGATCCCGGTATAAAAAATGTATTTTTTCATTAATTTGTGTTTTGCATTCATTTTTAATTAAAGCTAGTTATACCCTTCTGCATAATTCCTGTAGCAAAGATTTTAATTTGGACAACTGTTATTGTGTTTTCACTTAAAGGTTTTTGTCTTTTAAATATTATCTAAACTGAGGACAAATATTTTTTCTTTAAATATATTTCTGTAGGTTGGTTTCAAGTGGATGAGGATCACAATACAAATGTTTATGTGTCTGGTTTACCTCATGACACAACAGAGGAGGAATTCATCGAATTAATGTCAAAATGTGGTCTAATTATGAAGGATCCGGATACCATGAAGTACAAAATTAAACTTTATCGTGATTCAGATGGAATGCTAAAAGGGGATGGAAGGTGCTGTTACATAAAGGTAAAAAGCCTTTGTGTGTTTGTTTGCAAACAGTGTTTTTTTGATATAGTAATAGTTTTTGTTTTATATGAAATTGAAAATAATTATAGAATGCTTAGGAAATTATTTATTAACTCGTAAGGTTTGTTTTCCCACTGTTTATTTAGAATCACTATTAACAGTTCTTTATTTTCTGGTTTTGAGCCTGTGGTACTTTATGGAGTAAAATGCTTTTTAAAGACTGATGCCCATTATGTGCAGTAATTGTCTTATCTAGTTTGTTTGATAAAACTAAATTTGAGGTGCATTCATTAAATTGTAAGGTTAATACACCATTAATTTTCTAAGATTGATAAAAGCTTCACGAACAGTGTATATGTATATGTAATTTTACGGTTTCTATGAATCCACAAAGTTTGAAGACGACGTTACTAGGCAAAAACCTAACATTAAAAAATTCCATGTTTCCCATGTAAGACTCGGAGTGCTTTTGAATATATCCTATTATTCCAATACAGATTATTGTTGTAATCTGCATTGAAATGTGAATCTGCATGTGAATTAACAGCAATGGGGAAAAGTATTTAAAATAGCGTTATGCTAAAGTTTCTTTTTGAAATTGAATATTATAAGTTGTTCATAAGCATTCTGTAGTATTTTATATGAGCACTGCATATTTGTCAACCATCATTTTTTCATCACCCAGTCTTCCAGCTGTTCACCAATCTCTCAATTTTTAATTTTTATCCTTTATTAAGAAAACTTCATCTTAGCAGTAAATGGAATTTAAATTATACAGATTCCTTTCTCCAGCCGTAGGGATTTTCTGGTATTTGTGTATTATTGCAACGACCTCAATAGTAGTAGCTAAATTTTCAGAATGTGCCTTGTTCTGGTAACCATGTTGTGCATTTACATTTGTTAGGGAGTGATGCTGTAAACAATGTCATTTGGGGGGGGTATGCCTTCTTTTTGTTGTATTCCTTGTTCCAATTGTTTTTATTAACAGATTGTGACATCTTATGCATTGAATATAATTTTAAAATATCACTTGTGAAATCTGCTAGCAAAGGAAGAAACTGCAGAAAAATTTCGCAGTACTAAAATATTTCACTGTGAAATCAGTAAAGGCTGGGATGTGTTTGATAGATAGCTGTGCACAATGCTGATGCTGCTAAAATTAAAGTGTTCATTCTTTTGATAAACTGATAATGTTTTCATGCAGATTTACCACAAATTTTGATAGTTTGAGAACATTTTTATAAAAAATGTTGCAAGAAGTGCCGGTTTTCACCCAATAAATTATTTTGGCTTTTCATAAGTAAAAATTGCCAAACTGCCCCAAGGCATTAGTGCCAGTTTTCTTCATAATTTTTTTTATTAAGTTTTGTTTTACCTGAATTGTCTTAATTTACTATATATATTTGTAGAGCTTTTTATGAAGCTCAAGCATTGTTTAATCATTCAATATTTCCATTTTATTTTTCATCGGTATGTAGCATATTATTGAGTTTATCTGCAAAATAATATGTACATTAATTATTAAATTTGTTTTCATCATATTTAAAAGTGCTTTGATAAATAAATGTTTTCTCTTGCTCAGGATTTTCTTTGTAAAAGTGTAAGAAAATTGCAAAATGAAATTAGCCAAAGAACATAAAATATCTAATTAAATACTGATAAATTTTACATTAGAACCATTTTATAAATAGTTCAGTAACCTGACTCATGCATTATAAAGAGAATTTAAGCCAATTTGCCGTTTCTTTAAAATGGCACTGCTGCACAGTGCAAGAAGCTCCTAAAAAGTCCTAATTTTCACCTGAAGTCTTATTTTTCATGTTAGAATGTTGGCAACTTTGTTACTGTATTTTGTGATGTTGTTTCTTTCTTAAATTTCTGTAATCTAAAATTGACTGTTGCTTGAATGTAGTAATTAAATATATATGTAGCTTATAATTTACAGAAATAACTTCTGTATTATTTGTGATACAATTACTTTTTGTTTCGTGTTTTAAATTTAGATTGAAAGTGTTAAATTAGCTTTAGACATTTTGGATGGTTATCTGTTCAAAGGCAAACCGATTCATGTTGAGCGAGCTCAATTTGAGTTAAAAGGACAATATGATCCATCTAAGAAGCCCAAAAAGAAGAGAGCCAAAGAAAAAGAAAAATTAAAAAAAAAAATAGACAAGTAAATTTGTTTTTATTCCTTTATTCTTCTTTTATTGTTTTAGAAAGAGAATTCAGGCTTTTGAATTTTATAATTATGAATGCATGATTCTAAAATTATTTTATGTAGAAAATTAATTAAAAAAATATATATTAAATGTCTCCAATTGTGTGTATTAAATGCAATATGTGCTGTTATTACATCTGAATCAAGATATTGCGGATTAATTAATTACATCTGCATCAACATATATTACATGTAGTTTTGAGTAACAAAGTAATATGTTGCCAGTTATTTTTAAAATTAACATAGTAATTTAATATTTATTAGTCATTACTTTTTTAAGATTTGTTTGAAGTTTCGTAAATCATATTGAAAAAGTAAACCACATAAATGTGTATCAAGAACAAAATCATGTGCATTATCGTTATTGATTATATGTTTTTCAAGCAGTTTTGTTTAGATTGAATTACTTTTGAAAAGAAATAGATAATTTATTGTGTCTATGCGTTAACATATAGATTATCCTGCTCTTTTTTTTTAAAAAAATCATTTTTGATATTAATATTCTAAATGCAATGAAAACTTTTTCTGATGGTAAATAACCTTAATATGACTAAAAACAAAGAAATTCCATAATTAAAGTCTAAAAGAATCAGCTTTAGCTTTTATTTCGAATGAAAAGATCATATGTATTCAAAGAAAATTTGACACTGATCTGTTGTCATAGAGACTAATATTTTCCATGGACTAATGTTGTTTTTTTTTAAAAGACAAATAGTTGCTTGAGAATTTTAATAAAAATAAAAAAATAAATAAAAATAGAAGCAAAGAATAAAGATAAAAAGGGGTTGTAAATAAAGAAAACATATAACAAATATACATTCTGGGATGGAATCCCAGATCTCTCATCTGGAACACCCTCGCTTTACTGTTAAGCAACATCAGATTTCATGAATTGGATAAATGAATTAATGTATAAATGGTTTAGGTTATTAAAAAGATACAGTCCATCCCCTTATATCAGAGATTTGCAAGTTGAGTTACTCATTTGAATTCTGTGATGTTGAGACAAAATTGGTTGTACCAAAATGATGTGCTTTATTTTCTAGTGATTGTTTACCTTTATGTGACTGTTATATGTGGTTTTGCTTTCAAAGCTTGAATTTTGATTCCTTTTATATGCATGTCCAAGTTATTTAGTATTGCTAGTACTCAGATGTTCAGATTTCAACATCTGAAAGTTTATTCTCTATCTATATATGATTCTATATCTTATATATAAAAGTATGTTTTGTTTTATATTTTCCTGTACACAAATACAATTTACTATTGCAATTTTTATACTGAAAAATAGAAATTACCCAAAACAAATTCATTTACTGTTACAGTTGTCATCTGACTCTAACTTTAAAAAACAAACAAATAAACAAAAACCTGTTAATTTCTTTCATAAAGCAGTTTTGCATTCAGTTTCCAGTTTATGTATTTTAATAATCAAGACTCAGAGCAGACTAAAATAATTAGAATAAAATAGAAAATAGAAATGCTGAAAATTCCTCTTATTTATATGTATTTTATTTTCAGTCATAATTTTTTTAATTACATAATAAAAGGCTATTTTTATATGTATTTTGTATTCAGAATTAGTGTAGATTTACAGCTGGGCCAACTGCAATTTAAAAAAAAAAAAGAGTAAAAGAATTATTATAGCTGTATGATTGTTTTCACCAAGAAAGAGAGGGTGGGTTATGTAAAAGTAGTCTTGGGCATCATGTTCATTATAATTATTTTTTATCACTGGAAAACAAAATGTGAAATTTACTCATTAATTAAGATTGCAGACACTTAAATGGTGGTTAATTGTCAATTAAACTGTGTGTAAATTTTTCAAAAATACTTTTATATTTATATTTTGAGCTATATTAATACAGATCAGTTGTTTAGTGTATATAAAATGTATGTTTTTATTTACATGAACCTTTATTGAATTATTGTAAATCATCGTAAGAAAGCTAACATATATTTTTATCATCTCTTAGGCTTTTTGACTGGCGACCAGATAAATTACGTGGCATGAGATCAAGAAATGAGAATACTGTCATAATTAAAAATATGTTTGACCCTAAAGAATTCGATGTGAGTAATGTTTGATGCAAGCTTCGTGTAAATGCAATCACTTATTTAGTTAGCTATTTTATATGAATAAATGTAAGGTGTAAAAGATTTTCGTCTTTACTGATGCTTGATTACCTCTTCTGTTAATTTTTATAAGATAAATGCATGATTATTTTATAATAGTGTGAATAAATTATTTTGTATATAAAGGAATAATTATACAAATAAATATTTCCTAAATATATTATGATACTAATATGGTAATTCTCTTTTGATGGTACTCATTATAATTGGTCAGTTGTTAGAGTACAAAAAATGATAACTAAAAATTTGATATGCTTTGATAAGACTAAAAACGTACAATGTATTATGTGTTGATTCCTTTTTTTTTAAATACAGAATTTAAACTATAAAGAAAACTTTTAGCCAGCAATTGTTTTATTCTTATGTATATTTTCATAAAACATTAAAAAACTGTTCAGTTTGTAGTAATTATATAATCCCATTTAGTAAAGAACTACTGTCATTGTTTTTATGTTAATTTTTCTTTCCTCTAAATGTTAAAATTTAGGAAGATGCAGCTTTGTTGCTGGATTACCAAAATGATATTAGAGAAGAATGTTCAAAATGTGGAGAAGTGAAAAAAGTTGTGATATATGATGTAAGTTTCTTAAATTTTAATTGCTATTTCATACTCTCTCTCCATATATATATCTTTTATCAGAAGTTGGGCATTTATTGCGAAAGAACTTTCTTATGTTTATTCAAAGTTTTGTGATAAGTCCTTATGTTTTATTCAGATTATTGCCCATTGCTAGCCACTACTTTTTCTCATTTTTCTGGCAGCATAGAGATACTTTTATTTAAATTTTTTCATACTTACTTAAATATTTTCAGGCATGCAGGAAAATAATTTTCCTCCGTCTGAAGAAGTAGTAGGCATGTTTTTGAGTGCTCTGTTCAGTCTCATTAATTGTGTTCAATAGAGAACCCCAGTAATGGTTTCATTCAGTTTGAACAAATCAAAATGAACAACACCAAGCTGATCCCACCCACATAACGTGAATTTTCTCCCATGAATATTTGGCTTGACTGTCGATGTTGAAGCATGGCCAGGTGGTCCCCATGATTTCTTCTTCAGGTTCTCATAATGGATCCATTTTTCATCACTAGTGACTATATTGTGTAAAAAACCCTTTTGTTTATTTCTGTCAACTAGTATTTCACATCTAAAAAATTGGCATTAAACGTATCTCGCCTTCAGTTTGTATTGAACCTAATTTCCTTGCTTTTGAATCATTCCCAGTTATTTCAAATGATGTGAAATTGCTTGTTGTGTTACTCTTAAAGTAAATGCAAGTTCTGCTTGAACTTGCACTTACGTTAGGAACCTGTGACTTTGGCACAAATCTTCATCCAATAATGCTTCCAATTCTCCATCTTTACACTTTTGGCTGTCTGCTACGTTCTTTGCCTTTGATGTTTAATTCACCATTCTTAAACTTTTGAAACAACATATGACTTCTCTCACTAAAGGTAGCGTCACAGTATGCTTCTGCAAGCAGTCGATGTGCCTTTGTTGCAGATTTCCGTAAATTAAAAATGTAAATCAAAAGTTCCACAAATTATTCAGCACAAAACCTTTTCGCATGAAAAAATATTTGATGCTGATACAAAATTGCTAATGTTTTAAGGTTATGTTGTTGCAGATATCCAACCTTATGATATGATGTTTTATATCAGACAATTTTAATGAAGTTATAGGCCAAACTTGCAACAGTAAAATGCCACTACTTCACAGTTTTGATAGTCACTATTTGAGACTTAGGAAATATTGTGAAAGGAAATAATATCAGAAGGCTTTCCATACTAAGCATTAGGGGTATTAATATTGCTAGGCATGGCTTAGAGAAGATTTGTTTGTAATTATCTGCCCAACAGTGATTACTGATAATACCAATGGTGTCTGTGGTATGCTTGATGTTCAAAGATATTTCATTTTTTAAGGTAAAAAGCACTTCTGGAGAAGTTAAGTATAGCTAAACACCCATGTCATCAATATAGGCTACATAAAACTTAACAGTTGACATAAATATAAACAATGTATTGTGTTAATTTAGAGAGAATTTCAACATTTAAAAATTATTATCACTAATTAGATTAACAAAATATTTACAGGTACACATACCTGTGTGTCCCCCCAGAAAAAGGAAAAAAAGCATTGAGTATTTTAATCTGTAGATATTTCTCATATTTTTAGACCAAAAGGGCTATTCTAATATCTGTTCATTTAATATCCTATAAAATATTTGGACCATCTCTGTGAATAATATCTACTAATGAATCATATTAAACATTAAAAAGGCCTTTCGGGCAATCTTTAAAATCTAAAACCTTTCAGATGTTATTTTAAATATTATAGTTTAATTATAGATGATAAAATTATCAATTTATATTAATTATTTGAAAAAAATATCAATTATTTGTAAAGATTGTTACGTAATGCTATCAATAAACTTCGGAAGATATCCACGAGACAGTTTTATGAATAACTTTATTGAATGAACACGAGACTTTTAATTTATCAATGTTTTAATGACGTGAGTTTTATGTATCCTTTTTTGTGGATGGCATCAGTTTTCGGCGTTACCATGCACGTTCTAATCCGTGTTTGCTTAGTGATAGAAGTGTTCTATGATGTTGATATGTTGATATGAATACGAATTGAATTATTATATTGTTCTGTTTATTGAATAATATCCTAGTTCCTGCTTTAACTGTGAAAATACTAATGTCAAGTATTAACAAAGATGTTTATTCGTCAAGAAACATGTGCAGAATTCGAGTAGATAAGATTTATTTCTTTTTCTATAAATATTGAAATTGTAAACAGATATTCTAATAGTAGACTCACTGTGTCTAATTATTATTAAGGTTTATATACGTATCTATTAAGAACCTGTGCAGAACAACTGTTGACGGTTAGTCTCGGTGTAGTTCTGATATTTTTTGATAATTTCGTTACAAGTGGCGTCCGCGACAGGACGCAGTGAGGTTTCTGTTAGAATTATTTTGTTGAATGGTATTTTGTTAAGTAAAGCTGGTTTCATTCATCGTTTTATTATGAATCCTTTAACTGTAAAACATGTAGGATTGCGTTCTTCCTTTACCAAGACTGTCAATGTTTTGAAAAGCGAAATTGGTAAGGATAATTTTTCAGCAGGTATAATTAAAGATAAATTTACAAAGTTGCAAATGTTACAGAAAGATATTGAGGAACTTAACGAGCAGATTTTGAATTTTATAATTTCGACTGATGTAACGCCTGAAAAAGTTAACGATGAAATGGAAAGCTGGGATATTTATAAGGATGAATTTATTACCATTTCTCGCTTAGTGAGAAATTAGGTGCCTTAGGACAGATAAATTTTGAAACTAGGTCGCAAGGTAGTGTTTCTAGTAATTCACCTCGTAATACTAGATCGTTAAAGCTCCCGAAAATAGAGCTTAAGAAGTTCGATGGAGAATTATTGAACTGGCTTCCATTTTGGTCTCAGTTCGAAAAAATACACGAGGACCCTGATTTGCACGAAAGTGACAAATTCCAGTATCTTGTGCAAAGCATGAAACAAGGGACGCGCGCTAGAGACTTTATTGACAGTTACCCAATGTCTGCGAAAAATTATTCAAAAGCTATTAGTGCTCTTAAAGAACGTTTTGGGAATCATGATTTATTAATTGAGGTATACGTGAGAGAGCTCGTAAAGTTGATTGTAACGAATCTTAAGACAGGCAGTAGTGAAAAATTACCATTGCCACAATTATTTGATAAGATTGAAGCACAACTAAGAGCTCTCGAATCCTTAGATATTAAAACGGAAAGCAATGCTTGTTGGTTATATCCCATGGTAGAATCATGCCTCTCGGAGAAAGTCCACAGAGCCTGGCTAAGAAGTCCGCTTTTTGGAGAAGTAAAGGAAAGTCAGAATATTTCTGGCCTAACTAATTTGATAAAATTTTTAAGATGCGAAGTGGAAGGGGAGGAAAGACTTGAGTTAGCGCGGAGTGGATTTGAAATTTTTGCGGCAAAAAGACAAGTATTGTAATAAATCGAAAAGGGAATTAAAAAACAAATTTAAATCTAAACAGTTAACGAGTGTCCCTACGGCGGCAGGTTTCCTTACGACGAAAGATAATAACTGTATTTTTTGCGATAAACTACACGATAGTAAGGACTGTTACGAAGCACGCTCTCTGACATTAGATGAGAAAAAGAATAAAACTAGGCTTAAGAGGTGTTGCCTAAAGTGCCTTTTGCCTGGACATGTTGCTAAGTCGTGTAAACAGTTTGTACGTTGCTGTGTGTGTGGTAAGGCTCATACAGTTTCTCTCTGCCCGGATCTGCAGACACAGAAAACACAGGAAAAGGTAACAGAGCCAGACACTTTTCAGGCAACTAACGTTTTCAGGGACAGATGTGTTCCACTGAGGTAGCTCTCATGACAATTAAAGTCAATGTGTTAGGAAAATCAGGCACGAGAGAAGTACGAGCGCTTCTCGATTGCGGATCACAAAAATCATACATTTTGAAGTCTATGGTACAGGAATTAGGACTAATTCCCATTGCCGAGGAAACTGTAGCTCACACGCTTTTTGGAGGGATTAAAATTGAATCGAACGTACATAAAAAGTATCGGATGAAGCTACGCTCTCTAAATCCGTATATGAGAAAAGAAATGGAATTTGTATTTTTGGATCAGGAAGCTATATGTGGAAATATAGCACGCGTACCTAAGGGCCCTATTTTAAAAGAACTTAAGTGTAAAAAGATATGGCTTTCAGACATAGGAACAGGTTGCCCGAAGAGATAGAGATGCTAATCGGCAGTGACATTTACGGTTCAATTCTTACAGGGAAAGTAAAACAGCTTGATGGAGGTTTGACTGCAATTGACACTACATTAGGATGGACTGTTTGTGGTCCATTTAAGGAGCATTCCGAACCACAAAGTAGTGGTATATCTACTCTGAATGTAAGCCTGACATTTCGGGACCTAAATGTATCCGATCTTTGGAACTTAGAGACAATAGGAGTTTCAGATTCCAGCAGTAATTCTACAAAGAACGCGGAAGGAGATATTGCTTGGGAACGGTTTTTAGGCTCCTTAGGTAAAATGAAGAGGGGAGATACTGTGTTGGTTTACCCTGGTTAGAACATAACATAGATTTACCATTCAACCGCGATATTGCGGAAAAAAGGCTTCTCAGCACAACACAAATACTTAAGTCTTTGAATATATTTGAAGAGTATGATAAGGTTTTTAGCGAATGGCTTGCTGAAGGCGTGATAGAGGAAGTTTCGGTGTGCGATCTTAAGTCTAAAGGACATTATCTGCCGCATCATCCTTTTGTTAAACCAGATAGTCTTACCACCAAGGTACGGCCGGTATTTGACGCATCATGTAAATCTAAACGAGCACCTTCTCTTAATGAATGTTTGGTAAAGGGACCGAATTTGATCGAAGAAATACCTGCCTTATTATTAAGATTCAGAGAGAAACGCACAGGAGTTACGGCTGATATAAGATGCGCATTCTTACAAATTGAGCTTAAAAAGGAGGATAGAGATTTTTTAAGATTCCTTTGGTGGAAAAAGGATGGTCTCATAAAGGTGTATTGTCACACAAGGGTAGTTTTTGGTGTTAGATCCAGCCCGTATCTTTTAGGTGCTGTCATTTCTTTCCATTTGTCTCGAGTGTCTTCGGAGCAAAATCACGTAGCAGAAAAGCTTCGAAATTCTTTTTATGTCGATAATTGTGTCACGTCTCTTGACACAGTGGAAGAGTTGAAGGATTTTATGGATAAATCAATTGACATTTTGGCAGAAGCTAAGATGGACCTACAGATGTAGACATTCGGTCCTATAAACGACGTTAATAAAATTTCGAGGAATGATAATTCGGAATCTCTTTCTAAGAATCAAATTTCAGTCTTGGGTATTCTATGGGATAGAACGGATGATAGCCTTTCTGTTCATATTAAGCCTGTGCGAAATCTAGACAACCTGTCAAAAAGAGAGATTTTGTCATTAACACAGGGGATTTTCGATCCGCTAGGGTTCTTAGCTCCTGTATTATTACCAGCTAAGTTATTGATTCAAGAAGTTTGGTCTATTAAAGCAGATTGGGATTCTCCACTGTCAGAAGAATCAAACAAAAATTTTTTAAATGGTACTGTGAATTACAGATCTTATCAGATTTGAAAATATCCCACAGAACAGGATATGGAAACAAACAAACTTGGACTTTGCATGTTTTTTGTGACTCGAGCCAGAAAGCTTACACGACCGTGATTTTCTTACGCTGCGAAAACAATGGTGACACGTGTGTAAATTTTCTGATCGCAAAATCTCGTGTTGCACCTTTAAAAAAGATGACAATACCACGTCTTGAACTTTTAGCATGTGTTTTAGGAGTACGTCTAGCGAAGTATGTTGTAGAGGCATTATCCTTAGACGAAATTGAAAAACATTACTGGTCTGATTCCACCACAGCTCTGTCATGGATCAAGCGCAATGATCAATGGGGAACTTTTGTAAGAAATCGTGTCAAAGAGATTTGTGCACTTTCAGAGGAAAATCAGTGGTCTTACGTGCCAAGCCAGTTAAATCCAGCTGATATACCATCTCGTGGTTGTACCCCTCATCAAATTCTAAAGAATTCATGGTGGGAGGGTCCTAACTGGTTAAAGAATCCGAAGGATAGTTGGCCACGCCTCGAAATTAAACCCAATGAGGCATTAATTTCTTCCGAAATCAGAAAGAAAACTGTAGTATTAAACGTTAGCGTGAGTACTGATACATCTAAGTGGTATGAAAAATATTCTAAATTTTCAGCAATTGTAAGAATTTTAGCATGGGTTCTAAGATTTATTAGACACTGTCAGGCAAAATCTGTAAATAGAGCAAAATTCTTGTCTGCAGCCGAGTTAAAAGATTCAAAAAACACTTTGAGTCTACTAGTTCAACGTGAAAGTTTTTCTCAGACTGGAGATGTACTACATGGTCTTTCAGTCGTCAGAGATGAAATAGGACTGATAAGAGTGAAAACAAAGATTCTCGCAAGAGATGATGAATTTGGATTTAAATATCCAATTCTACTTCCGTCAAAGCATCATATTGTGCAAAGTCTAGTGCTCGAATACCATAAAAAGAATTATCATCCCGGTGTTCAAATGCTCATGTCAATGATTAGAGAAGAATATTGGATTATTTCAGCTAGACAAACAATTAGATCAATAATCAAGAAATGCATTACTTGCAAGAGATTCACAACAAAGTCACCTTCAACCATACCTATTCATTTACCTTTAGACAGAGTACGGGACGCTCGAACTTTCGAAGTCACTGGAATTGACTTTTATGGTCCTCTTATTCTTAGGAAAAGGACTAAAGCCTGGGTGGTGCTGTTTACATGTGCAGTCTACAAAGCAATACATTTGGAGATCGTGACATCCTTAAGTGCAGATTGCTGTGCACTCGCGTTGAGAAGATTCATCGCTCGACGAGGCAGTCCGACAGTTATCTATAGTGACAACGGCACGAACTTTATCCGTGTCTCTGGTGCATTGAACCAAATTGAGTAGCAAAAGATAGCTGCTCTTGAAACTCTAAATCCAATTAACTGGAAATTCATTCTCCCAACCGCAGCATGGTGGGGCTGTTGGTGGGAGAGACTAATTCCCATAGTGAAAAATCTACTTATTCGAGTTCTTGATAAGTCGTCTGTTACGTATGAGGAACTCCTCACAGTTCTTTGAGACATAGAAGCCACCGTTAACAACCGCCCGTTAACATACATCTCCAACGATGCAGATGAGTTGAGGCCTCTAACACCATCCAACTTTCTCCAAGATGTAAAAGAAATTGGAATGGCTGATCTTGATCATTTGGATAGGAACAAACTGGTAAAGAGAGAATGTTATTGTCAAGAACTGCGTGAACAATTCAGGCGACGATTCCGGAAAGAATACTTAGGTCAGTTGGTGCAAAAAGCTGGCACATCTGACAAAATTTTCAAAGTTGGAGAAGTGGTCCTTGTTGGTTCTGAAAACCAAAAGAGACTTAATTGGCCACTTGCAGTGATTGAAGAACTGTATCCAGGGAGAGATGGCCATGTGAGAGTCGTATAAAGTCAAAACTCCACTTGGTCATCTCGTTCGTCCAGTCCAAAAAATTTACCTTCTAGAAGTTAATTCTTCTGGGGATCCCATTATACCAGATCAACATACTACTAATAAACCCACCAGCAACATCACAGAATGACGTTCCAATTCAGAAGGATATTTCAGCAGCTCCTCGGACGTCACGAAGCGGCAGAGTAATCAAGATACCTAAGAGACTGGGCTACTGAACTTTCGAACTTTGTTGATTTACCTCGAAGGTGGTAAATCAAGGTGGGAGGATGTTACGTAATGCCGTCAATAAACTTCGGAAGATATCCATGAGACAGTTTTATAAATAACTTTATTGAATGAACACGAGACTTTTAATGTATTAATGTTTTAATGACGCGAGTTTTTTGTATCCTTTCTTTTTTTGTGGAAGGCATCAGTTTTCGGCGTTGCCATGCATGTTCTGATCCGTGTTTGCTTAGTGATAGAAGTGTTCTATGAATTTAATGTTGATATGAATTGAATGGAGATATTATATTGTATTTGTGTTCTGTTTATTGAATAATATCCTAGTTCCTGCTTTACTGTGAAACTATGAAAATACTGATGTCAAGTACTAACAAAGATTTTTATTCGTCAAGAAACATGTGCAGAATTTGAGTAGATAAGATTTATTTCTTTTTCTATAAATATTGAAATTGTAAACAGATATTCTAATAGTAGACTCATTGTGTCTAATTATTATTAAGGTTTATATACGTATCTATTAAGAACCTGTGCAGAACAACCGTTGACAGGGTAGTCTCGGTGTAGTTCTGATATTTTTTGATAATATTTTCGTTACAAAGATTATTTGGTGAAATTTTTAACAGTTCTATATACTTTGATTTTAAAATCTTTTTTGTCATAAATCCTGTGAATTATGTTATACATTGACAGCAGTATTATGGCATGATCATTTGTATCTTGTATTCTCTGTATGAAATTTTCAGTCACACATTTTTTCTTTTTATAGTCTTATTTATATTTGTTTATCTTAGTTTAAAATTTATATTTCATTTTTCAGAGAAATCCAGAGGGCGTTGTTGCTGTCACATTTTCTGAGCCAGAAATGGCAGATGAATGTATAAATCTTATGAATGGTAGATGGTTTGCCTCTCGTCAACTTACTGCAGAAACTTGGGATGGGAAAACTAAATATAAAATTATAGAAACTGAGGAAGAAAGAGAAAAACGATTAAATTCATGGCAGAAATATTTAGAAGAGAAAGAAGCCAAACAGGATGCAACGAGCAAAAATAGTGTAGAAACTGTAAAGTCTAGTGAAAAGCATCATTCGGAATCTAATAAAGGTACTTTATTGACTGCTTATCAACTTGCTGGGGACACTGACAGTTCAGGCGATTCAGATACAGAGAGCAAGTCAAAAACATTATCATTGCAAGATTCATATCCAGTCATGCAATCGAATGGTGGATTTTCATTCCCAAATAATTCTGGCAGTAGTGGTAAATCTTGAAATAAACTTTTCCAATCAGTCTGTCTGAGAATTTGGCATTACTATAAAAATATTCATTTTTGTAAATACATTAGTTTAAAATCAGGCATTTACCTTTTATTATCATTTTAAACAATCAGAAAATAATTATTAAGAAGTATTTTAAAAATTTGCTCACATAATGTAAAGAGTTTTTTTTATTTAAGTTTGTTTATTTGAAAATAATTATTTGAAGTGTCAATAATGTTATATATTTCTTGTATTTTAAGTTTGAATAAATGCTATAAATCTTCATTCTTTGAAATTTATGCAGAATACATCTTTGTATATAATTTTAGTATTTTTACTGGGAATAGTACTAATGGATTATTACACTTAGATTCACATAATTTTTCTTGATTAAATTTCAGATGGATGGGTAGTTTTTGTACGTGTCATAAAATGAAACATAAAACATAAATTATTATATACATCTCTAATTAGTTTTCCTTTGGTGGTTTTGAGTTTAGTGAATTTAAAATTTTGTGTGAGACACTAGCATTTTCTTTTAGTTAATCATCAAATTTTAATTTTGCTAAATGTGGAATTTCATAATTTTCCAGGATAACATTTATAAGTCTTTCCTTTCTCTGCAGTGGAAACAATTCATAGATGAGATATAATTTTCCCATGTAATACAATGTACGTGTTATTTCAGTATGCATTCATTCAATTCAGTTTCAGTGCATGCAGTATACATATTATTATTCATTAATTGCACTGTTTTCTCATGAGTATTTCCAAAGGAATAAAATGAAAATAACTCAGAAAGGCTGCATAGGCATTTTCATGGATTTTCTCATATATATAATATTGATATGAGTAAAAATATCTGACTTATAAAATGACCATCTCTGTGAATAATATCTACTAATCTGATAAATATACACAAGCTTTCCATAATTCAGGTACTTTTCCATTTTGCCGGTGCAATCAATAAAGTCGCCAATAATGGTACAACTGATGCCAAATGGAATATCTCCACTGGTAACCTCTTACCCTTCATTTTCAAAACAAGTCGCAGCCATTTCTTATCAGATTGATTGTTTCTTTCAATACTGGCATACAATTACATAGAATTTTTACAAGATAGTTAAATTTTTGGCCCTAAGACAATTTGCAGTAATTAATTAGGATGCAATCACAGCACTCACCCGAAGGCGAAAATATCGAAAAAGGCAAAGTCAAGGGTTAAATTCATCAAATCTAATGAGAATGCACTAGCGAAGTAAAGCACTGCGGTTTTGCATAATTTCTGAGTAAGCTATTCGTATGAATTGAAATAATTCTTGCATTTAAACTTGTATTCCATAAGATTTAATTTAAGATTTAACTTGAAATTAATGTAGATAATTACTGAGAGAATTAGATTTTTGTAGCGTAGCTTACATAAAATAGGATCACTTGGGGTCACGTGATATGCACCAGCGAATCAGGATGTTGAACCATGAAAGCATAGTAAATTCTTAAATTAAAATCTTTTTACAAATTTATTGGCTTTTTACAAAATTTTAAACCATATTAAAATTTTTATATGTGTATACTGTATGTTGTCCACAATAAAGTCTGCTTGGCAAGATTTGCGCTGGCGAAACGGAAAAGGACCTTTAATGACTTGTAGAGACTACTTTTTGATAGACATTGAAAAGAAATAAATATGTATTGTTTGTTTACATGTCACTTATTAAGACAGTGCATGTTATGTATTCAAAATTTAAGATTTCCCTATGTGTATTTATTTGTTTTTTTATAATATGTAAGATTAATAGTTGCTATAGCAAGACTAAAATTAATTATTTATTTATGATAAGATCATTGCATGTTGAATTTTGATTTAGTAATCTTTGATTAAAATTATTTACATAAGTTGTTTTGTAAATCCATGTGCCATTAATGAAAGCATTAATCCTTTGGATCTGCATAATATATAATTCTTTAGGCGCCGTGTGCCTTAATGGGCTTATAGCAGCTGAAGGATAAACATGTTTTAATAATAACGTTAGTAATGTTTAACTTTAATATCTCTAACAAATATTTCAGGGTTTCCTCTTTCCACTGTTATACTGATTGTAATTATTTCCCTTCATTTCATCTAAATTACTAATCATTTATTAATAACATTTATGTAATAATTTATGAAACCTATTTGTAGTGAAAAATAGCTACCTAAAATATTTCACACATATTACCATCAAAATTATTAAGACTATAATTTTAACCAAAAGTTAAAACAATTTATTTCTACATATTTCATTATGAAAAAAAGAATTCATCAGATACCATGTTGCAGAAATCAGAGTATGCCGTGTTATAGAGTTCTCAGTGAAAGCAGTTCATCTTTTATGCTTTGACTCTTGTAACTGCAATTTTTTAAAATGTGCTTCATTAAAAAAATAATTATTCTAAATCATACAGAATTAAAGAATGGATACTGTATGAAGAAATGGCATTTTTCTCAACTCAAACATATTTCTAGTTTTTGCTTTTTGCCTGGAATATATATGCAGTTCAAAAGGCCTAAGAGCTGACTTGCGGCCAAGTGGTAAAATTGCTGAAAACTGGTAGTTCCACCTGGGTTACATTTCAGGAAAACAGGATGGCTGCATAGGTATTTTTATGGATTTCCCCATGTATAATGTTGAGCCAATTTCCTTTAGAGAGTTCTAAACAAAGGCATCTTTTCCTTTAGGCAAATAACCCTCGCACACAGTGCCGTATTCAGATAAACCAAACGGTGTAAGATTTAAAAGTGCATTTTGTTTAAATTTATAGTATTTATGTTCTACTTGTCAATGTTTGTGTCCAAGCAGAAAGTTGTAATCTCAAGACGGTCAAACAGAATTTCATTCAGCTTGTTTTCTGAGGAAAAAATATTATTATTATTATCTGTCATCTCTTGAAAAACTGTGCATCCCATGTATATATTTCTTACTGCTGTGTCATTTTTTTATTAGACTAAAAAGTAAAAAATCTCTTACTCTAAATGTATGAGAAAATGAATAAATTAATCATTGTGCTTTGCAATACTTTATTTACTAATGCAGAGTATAATGTAGTCTAAATACATATTATTATGATTTTACTGTTAGCAATATCTTTATGTAATATATCACTATTATATTTAATATAATGTTTGCTATGATTCATAATAACTCTTGGAGTGTATTAAAGTGAAATCTCTTATGAATACACACTCATGGGACCGAGGCATTCATCCTTTACCAAAGATTGTATTGATTTTCTATTTTTAGTATCTCAGGATTCAGGAACTGCCCATTAAAGTAGGTTAAAGTGTAATAGGATATTCAAGTTATGATTTACAATCAAAGCCATAACAATCCATAAATACATAAAGTGCCATAACCATAAAGTGTCATAATCAAGCCATAACAATCTATAAATACCATAACAAGTGCTTCATAATTATATTTAAAGCTTATAAGCTGGTAAATATGAAGCATGTCCAGGAAGTTATGTTTTGTTTTTCCAAACCTGCAGCGCTACTGATGTCCTCTGAGCATGTGCACCAATCTTCTTTGTCCCTTGCTTTTCCACTGATATCAATGGTTGCTCTTTTCAATTTGTTGTGGTCTCTAAAAATGTTTAAGACAATTGAAAAACCTGCGAACTCTTGAGATCCAGTCCATAATTCCTGTTTGAAATGCAAGGAGCATGAAGCCTGCTGAAATTTATCATCAAATTACTGAGATTTATCATGAAAGTGCAATGAGCAAACATTGAATAAAGGATGTATGAATGTGCATGGCAAAGCATGGAGCGAGAGACCTTCTGTTATCAGTGACTATTTGTTAAGGGAAGTTGATAAAAAGCTTTGAGGAAACAGATGCTTTACACTGTTAGTGCTGTCTGATATTTCTAGAACTGATTTATAAAAAATTGTTTCCCACTGCTTAGGTTACCATAAGTTGTGTGTCCAGTGGGTACCAAAAATGCTTACAAATGTCCACAAAAACCAAGCAACACGATAGTGCTTTGATATTTCTTACTTGGTACAGTGATGAAGGAGAGACATTTGTAAGCCAGCTAGTTTACTGCTGATAAAACTTGGGTTTATCATGTAACTCCAGAATCAAAACAACAGTTGATAGAGTGGAGACACATAAAATCTCCTAAAAGGCAAAAATTCAAAACATCGGTGTCAACCCAAAATATCACATGCATTGTGTTTTGGGACATAAAATGAATTATGTTTGTTAAATTTCTTCCTGAGGTGAAGCTGTCAATACTGTCAGACTATGAAAAGACTTCGGCATGCAATTCCAAACAGAGATGAATCCTTAGTCAAGGAATTGTCTTGCTTTATAGCAAGGTTCGACTCCATGCTATTCAAAAGCAAACTGAGGAATTTAACCCTCTGATCGTTATGACCGGCTTTATCCAGTCATCGGAAGTTTTGCTACTTGCCATGTATTAGCTTATAATTCAAGATATTTTACTTTCTTACTTTCTTTGATAATGTAAATATCATCTTAATGAATGTAAGTTTATGAAAATATAGACTAAAATAAGTAATTATACAAACTCAATTAATAAAATGCTGTTTAACCCCTTCGCGCCGACTGTCACGTCTACGTGCCAGCAACGAACACACTCACCTCCCGGCCGACACGCAGGCGTGACAGAGCATTTTCCCGTTTACTACCGACTGTCACGTATTTGTGCCAGTGTCCTGGAACGTTTTTCAAACTATAATTTCTGCCACAAAGATGGCACTGTATGTCCATATGGTTTCAGGTACATGTACATTAGACCTTCTACTCGAAATGAGAGAAGCATGACTCACATACACGTGTTTTTGATTATATAAACAAACGGGGAACTAAACGTTTCCGAATGGCGTGATTTATTACGTCTCTTTAAATCGCACTTTATTCGCACGTGGTAGTTGTTTATTGTAAGTAGAAGTTTTATATGCTCTAAAGCGTTGAGTATTTTGGTTTGCAGTTCTGTTTTTAGAAAATAATTAGATCTTGTTAGACGTGAATTCTTTCTGTTTTTACCGTTGCAATGTCGAAGTGTTGAAAATGTTTAACGGAGCACGAAACAGCAGAAATGATGCAAAATATTTCAGATATTGATTCTGAAATTCTGATATTCTGATATTGATTCTGAAAGAATAACTGAAAGACATTTTCCAAAACTTTGTTCAGAAGAGACTGACAAGAAAATGAGACAACGATGCTTCGTTTGTTCACATT